GCCCCCGAGATGGGGTTTCTTTATGTTGCCCAGGTTGGTTTTGAAATAGCCTCCTGTCTTGACCTTTCACCGTGCTGGGATTACTGGTATGAGTCACTGTGTCTAGCCATAGGACATTCCAAAAACATGGAAAAAGCATACATCCCATAAAATAATCTATAATTCTATTTCTTGAGATGACCACTGCTAAAAAGTTTGTCTTTCCAGTTTTATTTCTTCAAGTGCATATATTCATTTTAAAGAATATTCAGACTGTATTATAACATGCTATTTTGTAACCTATTGTTGTCACTTAACTGTATTAAGCATGGTTAGTTTTGTTCTTTCATAACTAGATTTTTTTTGTTTTTAATTTCAGGTTAATTTGAGAGTACAAAGGATTAGGTTACAATGTTTGCATTTGGTAGGTAGTGTCCTGCCCCTAGGAGGTGTGCCATATACCCCTCACACTGTGCCTATCAAGTGGGAGCACACCAGCCTCCTTCCCCTCCTCTCTCCTCTCATCTTGAATTGAATTGAGTTTTTCGGTACTTTACTAAGTACATTGGATACTTGCTTTTCCATTTTTTTTGGTACTTTATTAAGAAGAGTGGATGGCAAGAGGTTAAAGAGGTCGACCCAGGTCAAAACAAGAGATGTAAAGTCTCCATCTTTTTTATGGCTGAATAGTATTCCATGGTAGATTTATGCCACTTGCATGGAATAGTATTCCATGGTAGTTTGTTAATCCATTTCTGGGTTGATGGGCATTTAGGTTGTTTCCACATCTTGGAGATTGTAGCTGTGATAAACAATCCAGTGCAAGTGTCCTTATGATAAAATGATTTTATTCTTCTGGGTAGATGCCTGGTAATGGGATTACAGGATCAAATGGAAGTTTTATTTTGAGTTATTGAGGATTGTCCACACTTCTTTCCAAAGAGGCTATGTTAGTTTGCAGTCCCATCAACAATGTAAAAGTGTTTCCTTTCTCCACATCTGCCCCAGCATCTGCAGCTTTGGGACTTTGTGATGTGGGCTAGACTCACTGGGGTTAGCTGATATTTCAGGGTGGTTTTGATTGGCATTTCTCTGATGATTAGGGACTTAGGGACGATGAACATTTCTTCAAATGTTTGTTAGCCATTTGTTAGCCATTTTCCAATGTATGTCTGTCTTCCTTGGAGAAGGTTCTGTTCACGTCTCTTGCCTAGTGATAGGTGGGGTTGTTTGCTCTTTTTTTGTGTGTGTGTGTGATTAATTTTAGTTCTCTGTAGATTCTAGTTATCAACCCTTTGTCAGGTTCATAACATGCAAATATCTTCTCCCATTCTGAAGGTTGTTCGTTTGCTTTAATTGTTGTGTCCTTAGCTGTGAAGAAGCTTTTCAGCTTAATTAAGTCCCATTTGTTTATTTTTGCTGCTGTAATTGCCACTGAAGTCTTCTTCATAAAATCTTTCCCCAGCCATCATCCATGAGAGCTTTCCCCACATTTCCTCCTAGGATTTTTATCATTTCATGGCTTATATTTAAATCTTTTATTCATCTTGAGGCAGTGTTTGTAAGTGGTGAAAGGTGTGAGTCCAGTTTCAGTCTTTTACATGTGGTTATCCAGTTCTCCGGGCACCTCTTATTGAATAGGGATTCTTTTCCTCAGAGTATGCTTTTGTTGTTTATCAACGACTGGATGGCAGTAAGACTGGATGATTTTATCTTTTTGTTTTCTATTTTGTTCCGTATGCCTATGTCTCTATTTTTGTCCTAATGGCATGCTGTTTTGATCACTGTGGACTTGTCATATAACCTGAAGTCTGATAGAGTGATGCGTCCGCCTTTGTTTTTATTACTAAGAATAAATAGCCTTGGCTATATGGTTTTTTTTATGATTCCATACAAAACGAAAAACTATTTTTTCCAGTTCTTCAAAGTAATTTGGTAATTTAGTAATTTGGTAATCAAAGTATTGGTAATTTAATGGGGATTGCATTGAATTGGTAGATTGCTTTGGGTAGTATAGTGATCCTTCACCTCCTTTATTAGGTGTATTTCTAGGTATTTCCTTTTCTTTGAAGCTGCTATGAAGGGAATTGTGTCTTTGATTTGCTTCTCAACTTGGCTGTTATTGGCATATACATAGACTAATGATTTGTGTATATTGACTTTATACCCTGAGACATTACTGTTATTTCTTTTCTTTTTTTTTTGCAGTATTTTTTGGCCGGGGCTGGGTTTGAGCCCGCCACCGCCAGCATATGGGGTCGATGCCTCACTGCTTTGAGCCACAGGCATTGACCTACTGTATTTCTTGATTATGTTCAGGAGTCTTGTGGTTGAGGTTTGGGGTTTTCTAAATGTAAGATAATATCATTGGCAGAGAGCGAGAGTTTAACCTCATAACTAGATTTTTAACGGCTGCATAGTATTCCAGCACAAATGTGCTATAAAATGTAAGCAGTTTCCTACTGAATATTTTCTTCTGTGTTTTATTATAAGTGATTTAATAAAAATCCTCCTGTGGAAAGCTTACTGTGCATCCTTGATTGCTTTTATGTGATACATTTCTATAAGTAAAATTGCTGGATCAAAGAGTATAAACATTTTTAGCATTTTTGATACATGTTTCCAAATTGCCTAGGAAAGAACCATTGTACTCTGACTAGCAGTATATGAGCTACTGTTTGGCCAACCTCACACCAACCCATATCCAATGGATAGACTTAATAGGCTTTTAAAACTTTTTTAAGTGCCTTTGATTTAAAAATGATCTGGGATGAAAGCATTTTAAAAACATATTTGTGATGTTACAAATTATTTTATTTTCCAGATACACCATTGTATTTATCTATTATGCGTTCTGCCTGGTGTTAATGATGCTGCTCCGACCTCTTCTGGTGAAGAAGATTGCCTGTGGATTAGGGAAGTCTGATCGATTTAAAAGCATTTATGCTGCACTTTACTTCTTCCCAATTTTAACCGTGCTTCAGGCAGTTGGTGGAGGGCTTTTATGTAAGTTTGATGAATAAGTCAATGAAATATGTTTTTTATTATATATAATGTATTCTCTGAATTTAATTTTGGGGCTTATTTTGATAGTTTTTTTAATTTATGAAAATAAACCTTAGTGTGTATTTTTGCTAAAACACATAATCAGTATTATTACAGAAGAAAAATCAGGTTTCTTAGGATGGAATAGAAATTCTGAAGAAATCAGTGGCTTCTAAACTAAACTGATTTCTGTTTAAAAAATTCCTTTCATTTGAAGCTCATAACCAAATTAAAAATTTTTTAAAACCTAAGTAGATAATAAAAAGTAAACACTGGCTTTATTCAAAGGTATTTGGAAATTAGTCTTGATCACATATGCTATTTATTATTAAGGAGGGCCTCAGATTTCTAAATTCCTTTATTAAAATCTTTTAGATACAGGCCAAAAAATCCTCAAAATATCTTTTATTTTACTATAACCGTTCATTTATTCAGTAACCATTTAGACTGAACTGTGACTCAGAAGAATGAGGAAAAGTCATTTTTAAAAGGTTCACATAGTACTTGTAGATTAAGCAGGTCAGCTGTACATGGCTAAGAAGATGCAGGATGGTTCTTCTGAATATGTAACACTGAGCATCCAAGATTGTTGGATACCATGCTTACAGGGAGCCTACCAGGGTCAGAGGTCTTCTGGCCTAACGGAACCGGGAAAACTGGATATCATTATGCAAGTAGTAAAGCTTGGTAATGTAATTTGGTAATAGTTTGGGAAAATAATTTATTTCAGGTCCGATATTTTGGAGTTGAGATGAAGGCCAAGAGAAGTGGAGATTAGAGATTACTCAGGGGTCTGTTGTTCCCCATATTCTGCTGGACAGATAAACTGTTTCCTCTGGCCTCCACAATATTTGAAAGTCTATAGTCCCCTCTGGCTCCTACCACTCCCTGGTTCCCTGTTAGATTTGGGCCACTTTGGTTACACACTCAAAGTTGCTATTCTTGTTCTAGGAAATAGAGGTCTGCTCTTAAAAGGATGTAGGCAGAAGAGTGACATGATAAGATTTGCGTTGTAGAAAGCTTGATAGCCTGGAAGATGGTTTGACAGGGGACAAGGACCTGGGGGTCAGTTAAGAGGTACTGCAGTAAGCCAAGCCTAACTGACCTTTGGTAGAG